TGCAGCGCTTGTCCTTCTTGCAGACTCTCGAAGTTGCTATAGGAGCTGCCCTCATCCCAAGCGAGAGGGAGGGCAGTGGCCCACCCAGGCAGAGGTGATGGACCAGGGCCTACAATCAGCTGTGGCCCCGGCTGGCCCTTTGCACCTGCTCTGTCCAGCAGTCTTTGCCCCTGCAGGGCCTCCGATCTGCACCCTGTCACCTCTTTCCCCAGACACTCCCTTGTCCTGCTAGGCCTGTCCTTGTGTCCTTTTGTCCCCCCACCCCTGCCCGTGCCCCTCCTCACTTGTTCTCCAGCACGACATCTGGCCGCCACACCATGGTGGACGGCACCCTCAGCACCCACAGGCCTTCATAGTCTTGTGGGTCCCAGCGAAGGCGATAGTCACACCACTGCTGCAGGGAGAAGGGGGCCAGGCCCCTGCTGTCTGCTGTACCAGACCCCCAGGAGCAGAAGCCCAGCCCAGGGGGCACAGAAGAGGGGGGGCCTTGGGGCTCTGTTGCGGGGAGCCCTGATAGAGGGAAAGAGGGTGACGAGGTGATCTCTTACCATCTCTATCCAAACGTTGGTGGTAAGGGCCTCCTCTCTTTCATTCTGGGGGTACAGAATAAGGTATAACCCCCATCACTTGCCCTCCTCAGATGTCAGTCCCTACAGGTCATTGTTGGGTCCCACAGGACCCCAGCCTCTGGGCAGCCTCCATGGGAGTGCTCCAGCATCCCGGCCTCTCCCCTGTGGGCCTCCCCCACTGCTGGGGCTAGCCCCGCCCTCTCCCCCCCCCCCCCCCCCCCCCGCAGGTCCCAGGCCCCGCACCCCGGCCCCTCCTCCCTGGGCCCCAGGCCCTCGGCTCACCAGGGAGATGAGATTGGTGAGGGTGAGCTTCAGGCTGACGTTGACCACGTCGGTACCCCGCTCAGCGGGCCGCAGGTGGGGGTTGTAGCTGTGCATCAGGTGGGCCAGCAGCCGCTCCTCCTGGTTCCGGCCTCGGGCTCCTGCAACAGACAGCGTGAGCCTGGTGCACGGACTTGGGGGCAGAAAAAGGAGGAGACCACGGGAGGATGGGACCTGGAAAGACAGGGAGCAGGCTCCAACAGCCCTCCAGTCCCGCCATCTCCTGAGGCCTTGGACCCCCGCTCCAGTCTTCCCCGGGCCCCCAGCCCTGTGTCCACACCCAGGCAGATAGCCAGCAGCGGCAGGAGGAACAGCTGCCCCCGAGCCCCGTGCATGGTGTCACAGTTCTCCGCAGTGACGGGGGGACGGCAGCTCCCCAGGTCTGAGGCAAGAGATGCAGACTCTGGGTCTCATGTAACAGCCCACACTCCCACCCCAGCCAGCCCGGCCAGGCCGGCCCAGCCCCACCAGCTGTCTGACCACAGCACTGTCAGCTGTTCTAGGATGGACAGCATGCCAGGCTCAGGTTACGTGGGCTGGGGAGGGGACAGAGGGGCCCCGTCTGCCCCAACAGAGGTGGTCCAGCCTCCATCCCCATTCAGACTCAGTTGTCCCAGATTCGTGGTCCAGCTGGCGAGCTGGGGCTGTAGCCAGGGCCATGTGGTGTGGAGAGAAGGCAGAGTGCTTAGGAAGGCTTGTTCCCCTGCTGCCTCCAGCAGGAGGTGTGAAGGCTTTGGTTAGGCTCGCTTTGTACCTGAGTTTCTCCATGACATGGTTGAGGACCCCAAACCTCTCCCACCAGCCCGGCATCTAATGGGTCACTCCACTGGGCTAAGACACTGCCTACAGGAAAGATGCATTATATCCCCCCCAGGCTTTGACACCTGAACACGGACTAGGGTGTGCGATCAGTGTCCTCCGCGTCTCTGAGACACGGGTCCCAGCCTGGTAAGCTTTGTAGGAAGGAGGGCTGAGAAAGACCTGAAACTTGGGGCCCTGTGAATAGTATGGCCCCTGAGCGAGGGCTCCTCCGTGGGGCCTCAGTACTGATGAATCATCCGCAGACGTATAGAGTGTCCTCACTATACGGCCGGCACAGCGCTAGGCTGGGGGACTCGGAACACACCTGAGCTGCTCGCGGGAACGCACAGTCCAGCCGGGCAGAGGACAAGATTGCAGTCATGGCCCCCCGAGAGTCCAGCGAGGAACCTAGAAGGGCTGGAGAACAAGCTCCATCCTCTTTATGGTTTGTGGTCAGAGGAAGGGCGGGGCTGAGGCTGGTCTGGGAGCCGATGGTGCCCAGGCCACCTGTCTTCTGACGGTCTACTCCAAGCAGACAGGTCAGCATGGCCCAGTTCACGGGCAAGACAGAGAATGCAGGTCCCCATTCACGCCACTCACCCTTCAGCATCCTAGGGGACAGGGTGGCAGGTGCCTCTGTGGTCTGGAGGGAAGCACCACTTGAGAACATGCCACCCACCCCACAAATGAATGATGTCTGTGGCATTTCGATGTGTGTCAGTAAACCAGAAGCCAGCTGACATGCCCTGTCCTTGGAGATCCAAAGGAGAGGTTGGCTCAGACCTCAGCCCCCTGTTGCAGGCGACAAGTCCCTCCTGTCCTCACCGGGACTTGGAGGTGAAGTGGTAGTGGTGGCAGCGGCCTCCTTGGAGTCTGTGTTTACCGTGCTACGTGGTGGGTGGTCCTTTGCCATCCTTGCATTCAGTCCTGCTCTGGGCCCCACACTCGGTTTTCCTTGACAGCTTCCCCACACCCAGCTTTGATCTCTCCATGCATCTAGGCTACTTTTTCGGGAATTTACAAAGCCAGTGGCCCCTCCTCCCCACTCCGCCCTCTGGTGCCCCCAGACTCAATTCCCTCACCCATTTTACATAGCGATATCTCTCCCCCTCTCTACTCCCCTCTAAAATACACTTTGCCAAAGATCACAATGGCTTCTGCTCAACCACGGGCCCCCCTCCCCCCTCCCCCCTCCCCCCTCCCCCTCCCCTTTCCCTTTCCCAGCACCACCCCAGGCACAGGTGGTCCAGCTGATGCCCCAACATTTCTGACTTTGCCTTCTTCCTCTCCACAAGTGTTTGGGAGGGAGGGAAAAGGGGATGATGGAGACTGACTTCCCTCTGGTTTGAATTAGGCCACCTCCCTCGGTATGAAGATTTCAACTCTTGTTTTCTCCCCTTCTCTCTGCTCCGGGAGAGAGGCTGAGAGGTCTCCTTGGTCCTCAGGAGCGTGCATCACCTTTCAGGAGTGGTGGTTTCCACCCTGGAGGGGTGCAGGGGGCGGTCTGGGACCCATCAAGAGAGAAACTTCTGTAGGCATCATTTATTGTCTAACAACTACACCATCACCACCTTCTACTGTAGAGCTAGAAAAGTGAAATGCTCATTTCCCAGGCTCCCTTGCAGATAGGAGCGGCCATGTGGTAACCTCTTGACCAATGTCTGCAGACATCTGCTGAGGGGCTTCAGAGGGAACTGTTGTTTCCTGATGAAAGGGATCAGAAACAGCTGGCCCCTTCCATGCCTTGAACACAGATGTCAAGCGCGGGGCTGTGGCCATCAGCTTGCAACCTGGGCAACAAGCCTGGGTCCCTAATAGCTTTGTGGGACAGCTGAGCCAATGTTGCCACCACTGCCCTGCTATTCTTATTATGTGAGACAGAGGAAACCTTGCCTGTTTAAACCCTGGTTCTTGGAGTTTTCTGTTCCTTGCAGCCCAATGCATTCTTTTTTTTTTTCTTTTTTTTTATCCTCACCCGAGGACATTTTTCCATTTTTTTGTACAGATAGAGTGGGAGGGAGAGAGAGGAAGGGAGAGAGAGAGAAACATCAACGTGAAGGGACACATCGAGTGGCTGCCACCCGCACTACCAACCAGGGCCGGGGACAAACTGCAACCGAGGCACGTGCCCCTAGCGGGAACCGAACCCGGGTCTCTCTGGACCGCAGGCCGACGCTCTAACCGCTGAGCCAAACTGGCCAGGGCCCAATGCATTCTTAACAGATTCATCACACTTTGAAAGAGGGTGAGCAGCGCAGCTGGTCTGGGGAGAGTGTGTAGGGACAGCCCTGGCTTCATGCAAAGCTGACCCCTGTGGGTGTGACTTCCTATGGGGGAAGGATGATAGAGTTTCATGTCACCCAGAGTGACCCAGTCCTGACAGCACCCTGAAGCTGGAGTGCTGGGGGAGTGGCTGCTGTTTGGGGACCCACTGTCACTCTGGGAACCTGTACAACAGGCAGTTTTGGGTGTGGCATTTGGGATTGTCTTTTCTGGAAGGCTCACGCTACCTGAACTGGGCCTACCACCACTGAGCATTCACCTGTGGATCGGGATGTGTAAACCCCCTGCCAACAGCACCACCATGTGGCAGAGAGAAGCAATGGCAGTGGCTGAGGATTCTAATCCAGGCCCCATTTCACCTTTGTGCATGAGATCGGGACCCTGTGGGAGCTGGTGGACGGCATCTGTGGATGATTCCAGGGAAGGCCCGGACTTCCTGCCCATTGGACAGGTGTAAGTCCAAGCTAGTTTTCCTATTCAAAGGGAAAAATATGTACCTTGAATTTGTGGATGATTTATATTGGAAGGCAGAAGTAAGTAGGGCCAATTTGGGTCTTTTCTCTCAGTTTCATTGAAAGACTAAACATATCATCTTCCATATAGCTCAGCTCATGAGGTCATGGACACCCTCCAAGGGAGAAGGGCTGAGCTGTGAAGACCTTAAGCCTGGACCTCAGGAGGTGAGTAATTGGGGCCCTCTGAGCCTGCTCCAACCCTGTCACCACACCAGGCTGGGAGGTAGGAGACTCTCAAGAGAGCCCATCCTTTGTGACTGAGGTCCTCAAATGAGGAACGAGATAAATCACCACCCCTTAATTTGCAGGACACATGTAAGTACATTCACCCCGACTAGCAAATTTGATTTTTGCAACATCCGGTAAGCAAGACTTATTTTACGCACATTTTGTAGATGAAAAAACTGAAGCTGAAAGACCAGGAGATGAAAAACCTCATCTAAGGTCACACTACTTCAAGCTAAACTACTCAACTTTGTCTCTTAAAGTGACAAACATTTATTATCTCCACAGTTTTGGGGCTCAGGAATCCAGGAGCACCTCAGTGGGGTGGTTCTGGATTAGGGGCTGTCATGGGGCTGTGATCTCATCCGAAGGTCCTGCTGGGGCTGGAGGATCCACTTCCAAGTTCACTCCCATGCTGTTGGCAGGAGGCCTCAGTTCCTGGCCTCGTGGGGCTCCCACTGGGTGTCCGTCCTGCCTCCTGGCTTCCCCACGGGAGAGTGAGCGCGAAGGAGCGAGAGAAGAGCGGGGTGGGGGGGCGCAGCAATGTCGTCTACGACTAGCAGGGGAAGTGACATACCATCGCTGTCATTCTACTGGTCACACAGACCAATCCTGGCATGGTGTGGAGGGCACTACACGGGGGCATGAAGATAGGAGGTAGGGATCACTGGCGCCACCCTGGAGGTGGGGTACCTCACAGAACCTCAGTTCCTCCAGCCTCGGGCTTCCACCCTTGGGATAAGATTAGTGGGAGCTCACTTTGGGGTAGAGTGGCCAGTTTTAGCAAATAAATATAGAAAATGCACAGTTAAATTTGAATTTCAGATAAATGTGAATGGTTTTTCCATGGAAGTATGTCCCAAATCCTGCCTGGCAACCCTACTCTGGAGAAGGTGAGCAAGAGGGGACACTGCTGGGGGAGGGCTGAGTTCTGGGCCCCACGGTGACCCATGTGAGCTGAGGGTGACGGGCTGACCTCTGGCCTCTGTGGCTGCTCCCCCAGGGACCAGACAGAGTGGCCAAGGCGAAAGGGCTCCCACCCCGCCCAGGACCTCCTGCCCCAAGGGGTCTGCAGAGGGAAGCCCCAGGTGGGGCTCAGAGCCCAGGGCTGAGGGGTTGGCAGGAACAGGGTAGCTTGGGGAATCAGGAAGTGAGGGCCCAGGAGCCCACCTGCTCTGCCCCAACCTGGGGGAGGGGGAGGCAAAAAGAGCCTCTGTCCTTCTCACAGAGGGGTCTCACAAGGCCAGCCTGAGTGGCATTCTCCTTGGCCCTTGAGCCCGGCCCCCGGCCCCGGCTCCCGCATAGCGCCCTGCCCCACTCGCCAGCCAGTGTCCACCCTCAGACGTTCTCGGTGGCGCCGTCTTTATCGAGGAGCGGGGCTTCCCCTCCGTTGCTTGGTCTCCGGAGGCCCGGCTCCCCTCCACCCAGCCTTGCAGGACCAGCTGGGCTCAAGTCTCGGCCAGGAGCTGCCTCCCTAGGGAGAGCTTGTCCTTTCTCAGGCACCCCTGTCCACACAGCTTCCTGCCACCCCCGAAGCCTGTCCCTTTCAGGCCAAAAGCCCCACCGAAGCTGCCCTGGGAGCGGGCCAGGCCGGGCAGGGTGGGCCCACTCTAGATGAAGCGCCTGTCCTGCTCCAGGTAGGAGAAGGGGTCCCCAGGGAAAGGCTGGGGCGGGGGCTGGTTGTAGGCGCCCTGCAGGAAGATCCAGGCCGTGCCCACCACCATGACGGGAGTCACCACAAACAGGCAGAGTCGGTCCACTGTGCAGGCCACCCGGTTCCAGCAGTCCTTCTCCTGGGGACAGAGTGGGGGCAGAGACAGTGGGGTGAGGAGGCCCTCAGACCACAGACCCGTGCCCCAAGCTGGGGCCCAGTGACAGGCGTGGCCTTGGTGCAAGGTGAGGGCTGCCTCGGGCTTATAGCAGAGGGGCTGAGGTGTGTGTCCCCAGCAAGGGCCCACCCAGGCCCTCCTCTGGCCACAGGCAGGGCCGTCATTCTGTCCGTCCAGGAGACGGAGCGTCCAGACGCGCAGTGTTGCCGCTAGCCCCTATGTGAGCTGGGAAATTTTCCAGAGAAAATTTAGAAAGTTGTGTTATATTGAACAACCACAGAAGGCCTCCCGTTAAAGGTCTGGCTGTGTCTGGGGTATCAGACTTGGAGTTGAGCAGGGACAGAAAATGATTGGCAGCTGGGACCCTAAGGGATGTCCGGAATGTGAAGCTGTGTGCCTGTGTGTGTACTTGAGTGTGTGCCTGGCCCAGTGTGCTGCTATGGGGGTCTAGGCAGGGGCTTCCCGTTTCTGGGGGGCCTGCATTCTGTACCCACTGTGAACTCCTTCATCTAAGTCAGTATGTGTCTCTGGGGGAAACTGCCCCCTTAAGACAGGCTACCCTTGATCAGTGCACTATCTGAACACCTGTACAAGGCGACCTGTGGCTACTCACCTCGTTGTAATTGTTCTGGTCCCTCATGTGGCTGACGATGAAGTTGGCCCCATCCACAGCTGGCTTCAGCTCACTGAAGAGCTCCTGCTGGGCCTGCTCAGAGCCTGCTGGGGGCCGGCCTAGGGATACAAGCCAGAGGTGGGCACGAGGCCCGCCCCACCCCATCTCCTGGGCTGGGTCAAGCCCCATGCCACGGGGGACCCACGTGCTGTGGTGAGGCGCCGGGCCAGCCCATGCCGCTCTGACTGCTTCTCGAACATGAGGTCACTTCGGGACTTGAGCGAGAAGTACTCCTCGGCCTTGGAGATGTAACCCAGGGAGCTGCTCCTCCGGACGAGGGCCCCAGGGCCCAGTCCGTCCTCCTCTGGGAGGGACATGTGTAGGAGTCTGGGCAGGGTGTCTAGGAAAAGCTGCAGCAGGTCAGGGGGACACAGGAAGGTCATTTAAACAACATGGGTTACCTTCACACATCCAAGCGTCTGTGACTCCGTTTCTAGCTGCCACAAAGTGCCAGACGGAATTTTACAGATTTACGCATTCAACTGCGTAAACGCCACCCAGATGAGCTATGGAACATTATCCCCAAAGGGTTCCTTTCTTCTCCCCCCCAGAGGGAACCACATCCTGACTTCTATCCTAACGACTGCTTTTGCCTGCCCTTGAACTTCACGCAGAGGAAATTGCACAGTCGGTGCTCTTTTGCGCCTGGCGTCTTTCAAGTCACATTACTCCTGGGGGAGCCTTCCCGCGGGAGGGCGGGCGGGAGGGCGGAGCAGCAGTGGCGCTTTGGCACCGCCAGGGGGCGCTGCCCCACATGACACACCGCGGTTTTCACCCAGACTCCTGCAGGGGACCTGTGGGCAATCCCAGCTTTGGGCTATTGACAGCCCTCACCTTCTTGACCCCGTCGGAGAGCACATGGGTGCTGGGTGTGCGGAAGTGGATGTTGAGCACGATGACACAGATCACCACGACCATGGTCACCAGTATCATGCCAAAGAGCAGGAACCTGTGGGCACACACTGAGCCTGGAGCCTCCAGGGTGGGGCAGGACATGGCGCAGCGTGGTGGGTGGGGAGAGGCGGGTGTGTGGGGAGGAAGGGGGTCACCTACTTGCCGATGAGGGGGACGGCTATGGACGTGGGGGGCAGCCGCTTGGAGATGAGCAGCAGGAAGACAGACTGTGCGAGCAGCACTGAGATGGCCATCGACGTCTTCTCACCACCTGGGGGAGCCGGGACTTAGCGATGACCTCTGGTCCCAGAGGGTCCCGCGGTGGCGGTGCACCATTGTTTACAATGCCATGGTGCCCTAATTAACATAACAGGCTATGGAGCTAACGTGTCTGGGTTCAAATCCCAGCTCTGACACTTCCTGGCTCGGTGACCCTGGGCTTGAGCCTAACCTCTCTGTTTTCTCAACTGTTAGATGTGATGAGGACCAAGTGAAAGTGTGTGTTAAACACTGGTCACGCCTCCTGGCACTGGATAAGACCTCAAACAACACCCACTGTCACCAATGGCCAATGCCCTGCCACTCAGCCCTCCTACATCACAGGTCCGTGTGTGTCCCTCCCTGACAGACAGCCCCAGAGTGACACTCCAGCTCCCAGCCCAGCCTCAAAGGCCCCAGTTCAGCACAGCCCTGCGCCTCCTGCCTGAGCCCTGAGCAGACTGCAGTGGCCGCTGTGCTCACGGGTCTGTGGCCCTGCCCCTCACCCTTTCCATGTGCAATGCCCCTCTCCACCTGTCTCAAGCAGGGCACGGGTCGGTGGCATTTGTCTCGGACTTGCTGTGCCTGCTCACAGTAAATATTCTGGAGCCAAGTGAGCGTACGTGACACGTGCCCTTCTAGAACCAGGGGGCATGGATATGTCTCCACGCCCTGGCTTCCTAGAGGTCCCATGTCCCCACATTGACCCAACAGCTGATGGCCTCCTGTGTGCTAGGCCCACAAACACACACGGTGACCACGGCAGTCCTGACTTCTGCTCTGGCAGAGAGACTGCCTAGGGTCCTTGGAGAGCTTGTCATGAGAAGGAGAAGTAGGGTCCAAGAGGGACAGGACCCTCAGAGATCCTGTCTATTTAAGGGGTATGGGACAAGGTCAAAGAGCCCTCCCCCCAGCTGGCAACATGCCCCTCATGCCTGGGCCCTGGGCAGTGATGACCCCCAGGTGGCTACCAGGAGGAAATGAGAGGCTGGGCTGGGTAGCCATTGTGTGGTGACCGTGGGCATGGGACGAAGCTGCCCAGACAGCCTGGGAGCCAGAGCCAGGCAACTAGGCTGGTTGCTGAGGCTGGGGGCTGGGGCTGGGTGCTGGGTCGTGGGTGCTGGGTGCTGAGGCTGGGTGCTGAGGCTGGGCACTGGGGCTGGGGCTGGGTGCTGAGGCTGGGGGCTGGGGCTGGGTGCTGAGGCTGGGGGCTGGGCGCTGGGGCTGGGTGCTGAGGCTGGGTGCTGAGGCTGGGTGCTGAGGCTGGGGGCTGGGGCTGGGGGCTGGGGCTGGGTGCTGAGGCTGGGGGCTGGGGCTGGGGGCTGGGGGCTGGGGGCTGAGGCTGGGGGCTGGGGCTGGGGGCTGGGGCTGAGGCTGGGGCTGGGGTCTGGGGCTGGGCGCTGAAACTGGGTGCTGGGGCTGGGTGCTGAGGCTGGGTGCCTAGGCTGGGGGCTGAGGCTGGGGGCTGGGGCTGGGGGCTGAGGCTGGGGGCTGGGGCTGGGGGCTGGGTGCCTAGGCTGGGGGCTGGGGCTGGGGGCTGAGGCTGGGGGCTGGGGCTGGGGGCTGGGTGCCTAGGCTGGGGGCTGGGGCTGGGTGCCTAGGCTGGGGGCTGGGGCTGGGTACTGAGGCTGGGGGCTGGGTCTGGGCGCTGAGGCTGGGCGCTGGGGCTGGGGGCTGGGGCTGGGTGCCTAGGCTGGGGGCTGGGGCTGGGGGCTGGGGCTGGGGGCTGGGGCTGGGCGCTGGGGCTGGGGGCTGAGGCTGGGGGCTGGGGCTGGGGGCTGAGGCTGGGGGCTGGGGCTGGGGGCTGGGGCTGGGGGCTGAGGCTGGGGCTGGGTCATGGGTGCTGGGTCATGGGTGCTGGGTCATGGGTGCTGGGTGCTGAGGCTCACAATCAGCTGGCAGGTAGAAGACCAGGTTGATCATGAAGGAGATGAGCACGCAGGGCACCAGGATGTTGATGATGTAGAAGAGTGGCTTGCGGCGAATGATGAGGTAGAAGGTGATGTCCTGGCGGCTGGGACTGTCCAGCGGGGCACTGGGGTCCACGTTGATCCTGGCTGGTCGGTGCACTATCTCCCACTCCCCGTTCTCTGCGGGCAGCACACGCGTGCCTGGGGTCAGGCTGGGCAAGGGGGCCACAGGGGCCTCGCGGCAGGATGAGGGGCTGGTGGAGTGAGCCACCCAGAGGTGCAGCCAGGCCTGTGTGCAAGGCCCTGGTGCAGTCAGGTTCTCTCTGCGGGTCTTTCCCTGGGGATGGAGATGGAGATTTCCCATCTTCAAGGGAGACATTTTCCTCTGGGATTGATTGTTTTTTCTCTTTGGAAAAAAATAAAAACTGAGGCCATACGTGGCCCAGTAAGAAGTCTTGGGGATAACAAGGCAGTGAGGGTAAGAACCTCCTCCCCCAACGTGTGATGGAGCAGCAGGATGTGGGTCTCCTCTGGGAGCCCCTAAAAGACCTGAGCCTGGTCACAAATAGGGCGTGAGGGATATTGGGAGGAGTGACATATACCCTATCAGGATGATAGTGGAGGCCCCCACCATACCCCTGGGTGCTCTGCGGACAGGAAGACTAACCACCCCCTCACCTGTCAGCTCCATCTATCCCCAGGGACCCTGCTCAGACCCAGAGAGTCTTCTGGGTTGGGCAGAGGTGGGGTGGGCACTGTGCCCATCTGCCTCTGCCTTTGGGATGCAGCCCCCCCATCGGGCTTCGTTCCCTCTCAGCGAACTGGCTTTGTCAGTAGGTGCAAGTGTGTGTGCGTGTCGGGTGCGCAGATGTGCACCTCGGGGGTGTCGCGTGACTGATGTGCATCTGTGGAGAGGTCGTGAGGGGCCTGCCCACCTGCCCACCCGCCAGCTGCTGCTCCCAGCACCTGTGAAGCCCTCGGGGTCAATGATGATCCACTCCACAGGGTACGAGCGGCCGTCTTCTTCTTCCTCCTGCTTCAGGCTCAGGGTGATCTCCTTGGCTGTGTACTTGAGCGAGCTGGGGAGGGCAGCGGGCAGAGGGTGGTCCTCAGCCACTGGCTGGGCCACCGATGGGAAGTGCCCCACGGTTAGACAGGCCACTGTGGGGGAGGGGAGCTCTAATCTGGACAGAGCAGGAGCTTTTGCCTGACAGTGGCCCCTGGCAGGTGCCCTGGGGGGAGGGGTGGCTGGAGCAGAGGCTGCACCTGAACTTGAGGGAGCAGTTCTGCCAGTCGAAGGGGAAGTAAGTGACGGAGATGGGACAAGAAGAGCGGAAGATGGCAGGGGGCAGCCAGTACACGGAGCCCGAAGGATAGATGAGCACGTTGCAGGAGTAGGAAATCTGGAAGGAGCCGTCATTGCTAGGGGACAGAACAGAGGCCGCAGTGAGCACGCCCAGCCTCCACTGGGCAGGGTGGGGGGATGCAGAGGAGGGCGGGGAGGCTCAGGAGGCTCAAGGAAGGGAGGCCGAGTGCTGAGGGGTGGCCAGGGAGGGCTGCGCTCAACTTGTTCTCCAGCACAATCTCGGGGAGCCACAGCATGTCAGGGGGCAGGCGCAGGACGCTGATGTTCCCAAAGTCCTTGGCGTCCCACTGCAGCCGGCTGTCCGTCCAGCCCTGGAGGCCCACGGGAGTGTCAGCAGTGGGTTCTGCTGTGGTCCTGGCCCCTCGCTCCCCCTAACTTCCCCGAGGGAAGACAGGACAGGGTCCAGGGCTGTGACTGAGGAGGTCTGGGGAGGTGGGGACAGAATGGGACTCGGTCTGCCATGTGCCGCTGTGTAGGTCGCATACAACACAACTAAGGGGGACATTGTCTCCACCATGGACGGAAAAGACTCGTTTACGTTGTGACCTTCTGACAGGGTGTCTTCTAACAAAACCAGGACACTGTCCTGGCCGGTTTGGCTCAGCAGTTAGAGCGTCGGCCCGTGGACCGGAGAGTCGCGGGTTCGATTCGGGTCAAGGGCACGTACCTCGGTTGTTGTTTGGTCCCCGGCCCTGGTCAGGACTGTGCTGGAGGCAACCACTTGATGTGTCTCTCTCACGTCGATGTTTCTCTCTCTCTCTCTCCCCCTCCTACTCTACCTGAAGATAAATGGAAAAGTATCCTCTGGTGAGGATTTTAAAACAAACAAACAAACAAACAAAAATAAAAACCAGGATACAGATTTTATTTCCCACAGACGGAGCATCCTAACCCACCCAGAGGCTCTGTCGGGGCTGGTGGCTGCACTGGGGGGAAGGGCAGCTGGCTGGGGCTCCTCTGCGGGCAGGAGCCAGCGCCTCCTGTGGGAAAATGTCTCAGGCAGGCGGGGGAGCCCCAAGCAGAAGCGGGCACAGGGGAGCCTAGGCCCTGCACCCTCACCCACAACCCCTGCTGTGAGGGGGTGTTCTCCTTACGTGTTCAATCCACACATTAGTGGTGAGAGTCTCCTCCACTTCTTTCTGGAATCAAACAGGAGGCTGTCCCCAGGGCCTGACTCACTCTTCCACCAGCCACCTCCTCCCAGCTGCCACCCAGGGAAACCGTGGCCATGGGCCTGGCCAGACTCCCCTGCCAGGCGCTCAGGAGCCGGTGGGCAGCCCGGGGAGCAGGGAGAACACAAGGCCTCTGGGGTGTGTCAAGGGTGTGATATGGGCACACCCCAGAGTGGCAGCTGGAGGGGAGGGACACCAGCCGAAGGCCTGGAGGCAGCACAGGGCATAGAGAGAGGAGCTGCCACAGGCCTGTCTGGGGCCTGAGCTTCCTCCATGGCCATCCCAGTCCGGGAGACTCAGGCCTCAAGGAAGCTGTCCCTGCCCTCCAGTCCCCAGCCCCGCCACAGAGGGCTGCTCACCAGGGAGATGAGGTTGGAGAGGGTGAGGGCCAGCGAGACCTCCACGCTGTCCTCTTTGCGAGCGGCGGGCCGGAGCTCCTTGTTGTAGCTCTTCTCCTTAAACAGGTACCGGATCAGCCGCTCCTCCTCATTTAGACCCCAGCTGCCTGGGCACGGATGGGGACGGGGTGGGTGCTGGGCAGGGACCCAGGAAGGAAGCTGCTCTGGGGTCCCGCGGGGCATGAAACCACTCCCTGGAGCGGGCCGTGGTGATCAGCCCTCCAGGGAGAAATGGTGTGGGAGAGGGGAGGGGTCCTGAGGCCTGGGGAGGAAGCTCCACGTAGGAGGGGCAGGAGGGCACCATGCTGTAGAGGGGCTGGGAGGGCGGGACGGTGTCCAGTCTTACCACACACGACCAGGGTGGCCAGCAGCCCCAGTGTTAACACAGGCCCCTCCATCCTGTCTCTCCAACTAGGTCCCGCTTCTGTTCCTCCTGTCCCCGGGGCTGGGGAATGTGGGTGAGTGGCAGAGGGGACAGGTGCAGAGTGGGGTGGAAGAGCCCAGGAAAGAGGCAGCCGGAAACGCAATCTGATGCCTCTAGGCTCTGCTGCAGGGTAGAGAACCCGGGGCAGGTGATGAGGGGGTGGGGACAGGGACTAGCTGTCAGGGCAGAAGCCCAAGGACATGAGGCGAAGATCCCAAAGTAGGAGTGGCCACACCTAGCTGTGGGGGTGAGGGCTGGGTAGAGGCACTGGACACTGGGGGCGGTGATGTCAGCCATGGGTCAGGCAGGTCAGCTGCCATTTCTTGGGAGGCAGACAGGTCTGCTCAGATGAGGGCTTAGCAGCCCTTTCCTGTGTCTTTGTGACCTCTGCCAACTGCTTCTGGAGGCTAGGCCTGCCCTGCCTGGACCCCACTACCAGAGAGCTGGTCCCCTCACCCAGTTTCCATCCCAAGAAAGCTTCAGAGTTGCCTCCATACATCATAAATAACATTTATTAAAGCAACTGTGATTTTCTGATGAAACATGTGGGAAGACACAGGGAGCCCAGGGCCCAGGAGCCCCACCCCACCCCACGCATCTGGCCAACTGCTGCAGTGATGATTTGTCATCATGCTCCCTGAACCCTCCCAGCCCCTGGGAGCATAGGCCCTGACCAGAGGCTGGGGGCCTAGACGTGGCTTATGGCTGCCTGGCTGGGGGAACCTGAAGGCTAAGTGCGTGGTGCCCCATCCCTCCCAGCCCCCAGCCCCGCCTTGCACCTATCCTTGCTCCCCGGGGCTCTGCCTTGGCCTGAGCGGCCAAGCGGAAGGCCTGCAGCGCCTGTACCAGCAACCGGGGAAGGCTTCGAGCCAGTGTGGCTGGCTCCAGGCCCACCAGGCCACCAAAAACCACATGCTGGTCCCCCAAGCCTGCCCGAACCCAGGCTCGGAAGAGCCCCGTTATCGTCTTGGAGCTCAGATCGGCCAGGACCTGCAGAAGGAGGAGGGTGCTCAGGGGCCCAGAACCCTACTCTTGGTCCCCTCTTCCTGGCACCCCCCCAAACTCTCCCCCAAAACCACTCTCCTTCCTTACAACCCCACAGTGCTGCACACTACCTGCTCACATGGACACCTCCACAAGCCCCTCTACTTACACCTTTCCCCCTCCCACCAACCTTCACACCCACCCAGCTCACACACAGCTGCCCTCCCCACCCCTTCCCCTTGGACTCTCCCCCCCCCTACACAGGCTGCTGGGGGGAAGGTCCTTCCTCCTGCTGGGGAGGGTGCCCCTTCTGTCCCCCTACCAATCAGGGTTGATCCAGGTCTGCCTTCAGATGCCACTGTGAAGGAGTCTGGGAAGTCTGGGGACCTACCTCCTGAAAGTCCATGGCCAAGTGCTCTAAGGGGACCTGCAGGATCCAGGCATGGGTGTCCTGGAGGGTGGCCATCTTCTGCCACAGGGGCTCCAGGCCAGGACAATCTGCAGGAAAGGAGAGACACCGGCACGGAGTTGGGGTGGGTTCCCACCAGTACCTCAGGATCAACTCCCAGGGGGCAGCTTCTCATGCTACAGATGGTGAAACTGAGGCTCAGAGAGGTTAAGTGATAACACAAAGCCGAGAATTTTCTGACACTGATGAGGGAACAAAACCACAATTAGCCCTAAAGAGTCATCCTTCTGCTTCTGGGGAGGGGTAGTTACCCGTTGCCCCATGGGTAACCCAGTGCGGATCCCAGGAAAATCCCCTCTGGGCCGCGGCCAGCTCCTGGCCTACAGCCTGGCGATGGCCGGCAGGGGGCGTAATCACCGTGCGCATCTCCGCGCTGCTCTGGCCTTGGTAAGGGGAACCCGGCGCCTGCTGCCGGCAATTCTGGGGAGACGCAGGATTAGGAGAAAGCCGCGGCCGCGCGGGGGTGGGGCCGGGCTGGGCTGCGAGGCCTCGCAGTACCTGGGTGCAGCCGCTGCTCGCGGGCGGTGTGCCCAGAAGTCTCCAGGAGGGCCGGGGCCAGGCGCCGCATCCCCGGGCGCGGGCCGAACAGCCCCTGGGCGCCCCGCAGCAGCTCCAGCAGTGTGTGCGCCAGCGAGCGCAGCTCTGCGGGCCGGACAAGGGTGCGGTTGGCAGATACACCGGGCGAGGCCCCCTGCTCCCCGGCCCCGGGAACCACACTGACCGCATCGCCGTCGGCATTGCAGGCACTGCTGATGCGCTAGGGGCGCACAGGCGCCCTTGGGCCCCGGGCACAGGTGGGCGTAGAAGGCGCAGGGCGGGACGGCCTCTGCCAGTGGCTCCTCGGGCGGTTCCCAGGCCAGAAGCTCCCTGCAGCTGGGCTCCCGGCTGGAGGGGGCTGCTGCGGAGAGCAGCAGGGGCCAGTTCACCCCCCGTTTGGGGTCCTAGCTCCTGAAGTCCTGTCCCAGAGGGAGGCTTTCCAGAAGCGGACGGGGGCTGGGGCCGGCGGGATGGACGCGAGTTGGGCTCGTCCCGCAGCTGTGGGCGGGACACCGCGGAGGGGCAGTGGGAACTCAGCACTCACCGTTCATCTGCTTCTGGAGCCAGTCCTTGAACACGGCCACACGCGTGTAGACCCCAGGCTTCCCGGGCTCCCCGCAGCCGTCCCCCCAGGAGGTGATTCCATACAGGACCTCCCTGGGGCGGGGGTCAGGCTCAGAACAGGTGAGGGGGCCTCCAGAGTCACCCTGTGGGGACCCGAGCCAAGAGAGAGGGCGCTGCATCGACCCCTCGCCCCCACCCCGTATGTTATCCTTCCACCTGGAAGGATAAGGTACCTCAGCTCTACTGGGGTTACCACTCTTGTGCCCATTTTAGCCACGAGGATATAGAGGCTCAGAGAAGCTGAGTGACAGCCTGACTGTAGGAGGAGGGTAGGCTGTCCCGCCCCTGGAGAGCAGCCCACCCAGCGCCCTCCGATCACCTGGGGCTCATACCTGGCATGAGTCGATTCCCCCCGCCAGATAACCGGCACAGAGCATGGTGCTGGGGCGCAGCCCGGGCCCCAGGGCCCTTCGGCAGGTGTCGGCGCTGAGCAGGGGCACACGGGCCTCCCTCACCACCTCAGCCTCGGGCCCGTCTACAGGGAAGCGGTGGATGGGGCTCAGACCAGGAGGCTAGGGGCTCTGCTTTGAGGGTCCCCTGTCTCAATGTCCCCCTTGATTCCTCCTCTTGTCAAGATCGGGCAGCATGTTGCGAAGACTGCTAGGCGCAGGTCCGATTTCTTACAACTCAGCCTCCCCAGCCCGGATCACCCCGGACCCCATTCTTCGTAGGCGCACCAGCGCCCCTGGCCCAGGTCAGGCCCTGCCTGTACCTTCGAAGAGAGCCCCCCAGCCCGCGATGGCGCAGGCGGTGCCGGCGGGGGGCTCCCGGGGTCCCTGGGGCAGACACACGGGGCGCGCCGCCCCTGCCGGGCTCACCGGCGTCCACAGTTGCACCAGCGCAAGGTCGTTGTGGAAGGTCCGCGGGTCAAACTAGGGAGGGGGTGGCGACGCAGTGTCAGCGAGGCGTGGGGTGAAGGTGCTGCTCCCGGCGCTGAGGGCCTGGGGCTGCCCTCTCACCTTGGGGTGGGGCAAGATGCGGTTCACCGGCACCTCCGCCGCTTGCTGCCCCCGGCGCCCCTCGGCCAGCGTCACCGTCCACAGAAGCTCGTTCGGGGCACTGCGGGGCGAGCAGCGGTTCCCTGGAGACCCTGCCCTCCGCCCACGGGCACCAGCCAGCCAGCCCACTCGCCGGGTTTCCCTGCCTGGAGGCAGGGAGGGCGGGCTGGGGAGGGGCTGCTGCCGCGCGTGGGCTGAATCCGCGCCCCGGCTGGGCCGCGCGGGCGCCTTGAGGCCGGGGAGCCAGGGAGGAGGGCTGGCGCCGCCAGGGGGCAGCAGGCACTCGCCCTGGCGCGTGTCGCCCTCCCAGGATCTGGAAGGAGTCGGACCCGGGGGTGGGCAGGGGCCTTGGGGCCGGACGTACCCCGCGAAGCAGTGTGCGGCTGTGAGCACCCAGGACGCCGCCACCAGGACGCCGCCACACACAGGCTGCCGGCCGAGCTGCAGCCTCACCAGCCAGGGCCAGGCCCCGGGCTGCGCCGCGCTGCCCCCCACGATGCGGCCGTGTGCCTGCGTCACATTGACAGGACCGGGGCGCCTCTCGCCACACGGCCCTAGAAAGATGGAAGCGCCGTCATGACCGACAAGTCCTGGCGGCTCTCACCATCGAGGCCCCTCGGGGGTTCGCCTGCTCTCAGCCCTGCCCCCTTGGAACTTTTTTCAGCCTCACCTGATTCAGGTGAGTCCCGGAGCAGGGGTCCTTGAGGCCGGGGGCGCCCAGGGCCTGCTGGGAAACAACTCTGAGCTTCACTGCAGCCCTCCCGCCTTTCCTCCACCCCAAGCTGTGCCCAGGCCCTCTCTCTGCCCTGGGCTCCCCTGCTCTCGTCCCACCCCCACCCCCGCAGTCAGTGTTTGTCTCCGCAGCCATGAACTTCTCACTGTCACCAAATGAGCCCAGACTGTTCTTTCCCTCCTGCCCTTGCACAAGCTGTGTCCAAGCCTGGCGCGCATGCCCTTCCCACTTAGAGAGACCTTCATAAGCATTGTTCTGGCTGCAGCCCCACCCGGTCTTTGTCTCCAAGAGGGAGTCAAGTCTGGAGGGGGCGTAGGATGGACAGGAGAACAGGCCCAGAGTCTTTGGTGCAAGCTCACCCATGCACGGGGTGGTGTGGTTGGCACAGCCTCGGCACTCATGCAATCGATGCTGGATCTCCATTGCCACTAGATTTACCGCCCACCGGGCGCTCCTCTGGGCGGCCCGCAACGCCTTTGTTCCCTGGGCTGACAGAGCTGCTGGGACATGGGCACAGTCGTGTGTGGTTGGGGAAGAGCCACAGGCTTGTCCTCCTTGCCCCAGCCCAGAGCCCTGCCTTGGGGGACCACAAGGAAGCAGGCGGGGCTCAGGAGCGCTGGCTTGGAATCGGGGCAGACAGAGCCCCAGGGCCCCGGCCCAGCACTCAGAGCCCGTGGCTGGGGAATCTCAGCCCACGCCATCTCTGTAACAACTGAGCTGCGCTGGAATCTTCGAAAGGGGCCTTTCCTTAAAAACTTAGAAGGAAAACAGCACCCTGCAGATACAACATCACGGAACTCAGACTTATTGACATAAAATGACTAGGGTTGAATTGCCCTCCAAGGGGATGCTCTGGGCCCTTTCTTCCCTGCTAAGCCTGGAAACTTCCCTCACACAAACCCTTGCTGGCTCACCTTCCCTTGCTGTCCTCATCTTCCTCCTCCTCCTCCTACCTGTGTTCCTGGCCCCTTCGCCCAGCAGGGTGGGCGGAAGATGCCAAAAGTCCTTGTGAATGCGAGTGGCAAGCTCATGTTCCTCTGCCCAGACCCACTTCCTCTCTGCTCCTCCCCTTGGCCGCTCCCTCAGACCAGCCCGGGCTCACCTTGCAGGGTGCTGGGGGGCAGGCGCATGTACAGTGGGTGCCCGTGGGCAGACTGTGAGTCTGGGAGGGGCAGCAGCAACAGCAGCACAGCCAGCAGCATGGTGACCAGGAGCCAGGGCCCTGACCCTGTTGTTTCCCACTTGGGGTCCACCCTCCAGGCGCTTACCCTGTGGTGCCTGCCTTTCTGTCCCTAGACACTGAATTCTTGTCCCTCACACCATCGGACCCTATTCTCTTACATCAAAGTTACCACTTGCCTTGGTCGTCCCTTACCTGGCCCTTAGCTCCCGGAGCCCACAGGGGAATGGGGCTTGGGGGGCTATATAGAGGACAGACCGAGTAGGGGGGTACATGGGAGGGGGCCAGGGTTGAGGGAGGGCACAGGGTAGTGGGCTCAACCCTCACCTTTGAAGTCTCACCATCCGGCTCTGAGGCCCCCACGTCTGTCAAAGGAGCCCTTGTTTCTGCGGCTCCATCAAAGGGGCCTGGACAGCCCAGAAGAGCTGACGGTTGGGCTGGGGGCCAGGCAGAGGGGGGCTAACCTCAGGGCCTGGCCCCGTCACAGGGCTCAGATGGAGGCGTCCCATCTGCCTCGATCCCCTAGGAGTTCACTGCTGTGCTGGGGGCAGACACAGGAGGGAGGAGGGCAGGGGTGCCTGAGCGTCCTGGGCAGCCCCAGCCCCAGCTCCCAGCTCCTCTGCCCCTAATTGCTTGGCAGCGTCCCTCCCCAACGTGGCCATTTCTAAAGATGATCAAAGCGCCTTAATTAGTGCCGTAATTGCCCTACTGGGGGTAGTGGGGTGGGAAGAGGCAGAGGCAGGCGGACACTGGAGTGGCCCAGAGAGGAAGGCGGGAGATGAAAGGCCCCACAGGGGCCCAGTTTGGGGAGGACAGGCCCCAGCAGCTTCTGACGCTCTCCCAGACCCCCAGCCCCTGCGCAGGGCCTGTCCCGCATTGTTCAGTTGCTAGGACCCGGGTCTGGCAGAGGGAGCCTTCTGGAGTCTCACGGGAAGGACCCAAAATGGGCAGCTCTCCTGGGACAGGGTCCCCATCTGGGGCAGAGAGGAGGTGCCCTTCTGCCCCACAAACTGTCCTGGGGCCAAACAAAGAATCCTGTCCCCCCAGTTCATGCTGGTGACTCCAGGGTGGCTTGGCAGGCCTGGTCCTTTTCCAGAGAGGATTCTGTCATGACATCTCCTCTCCAGCCTTTTTCCTTCCGCACAGGTGAACAGGCCTCTGGTGGGAAGCTGCCCCACTTTGTAAGACAGAGCCTCAGACCTGCAGAGGTGGTGGGTGAGGTGCAGAGATGAGCCAGCCAGACCCAGCAGCTTCTCCTGCCGCCGGGCAGCGGAGAGTGTGCACGGCCTCATCCTCATTGAAACTTGCCCCGATCGCTGCAACACCATCATTTTGGTCCCCAACCTCTCTGGGCTCTCACCACAAAGAGACTCCCACCCCCTGGAACTCCACTGGAGGTTGCCGTCCTTCCAGTGGTGTGCTGGAGCCGGTCAAGGGGCTCCTGAGAGACCCCCACTGGCATCTCCTTCAAATCTGCATTTGGTAACATCACATTCAGAGTTTGAAATCAAGCACATATTCACACCGTGGAAACCAGCGAACGCAGCGGAGCAGAGTTCTTTTCCCTGGAGAGCCAGTGTTCACATTTATCAGCACACCTCTGTACGCTCGCTCCCGGGCGCCACCACACTTCGTAAAGACTGCGCCTCTGATTCAGGGACGCCGTGAACATACTGCCCGGGATGGGTTATTGTGAGTGAATACTGTGAAGTCAGAAATGACCTGGATTCATCAGAGTGTCTATCCATCTAGATGGAAAGCATATCTGGATGGGGTATATCTATCTTTTCATCTATAACCTCCAAATTCTTGGCAGGGGTGGGGTGGTAGTTCAACATGCCTATATTTGAAGCGTAAATAGAGTTTTGAGAAAATGTGCAAAGGACAATTATCTGGGGTTTCATGGGACAGCCATCAAGGTAAGGGACCCAGAAAGCAGAGAAGGTGATGGGAATACCTGCAGCCTCTGGGTGGATAGATCAATAGCTTTGACCTATCCTCCAAGATCGACCCACAGATCCTTGCATTGGAGCTGAAGGGATGAAGCCCAGAGCACGCCCTGCGAGAGAAGGAGCCCCCATGGACACGCCCCTAGGTAATTCCTCAGGGTGTGTACTTCCTGCCCATTCTGCACCCAGATCCTTCAGCTGCCTGGATCCTGCCAGAGCCAGGTGGGACAGGCCACAGCATGCCTCCCCTCCCCCCACTTCCTCTGGTCTTCAGTGCAGGAGGCAAGAGGACCAAGAGACCCAGAGCTGCTGTCTCTCTGCTGTCCCTTCCGACCCTACTGGTCTCAGGTAAAATCCCACCACGGACAAAAAACATTCGGGACCTCACAGCATGGATTGCAGTTCAGCTCCCCTTTCTCTGTCTCTTCTGCCACTTTCTGTGCCTATGGCTAGGTCACAGCCCTCTCCAAGTCTGGTCAATTTCACCCACTTCCACAGATCACCTCTTGAGACCAATCTAAATCCATGTTTGGTGACATTGCTTTGTTACGGCGATGGGTGCACTAATGTCTGAACTGCTTCGCCTGTTGGAACGTGGTGGAGAGGCCCCCGGGCCACTGTCCCAGCAGCCCTCTTGTTCTCGGCCGTCATCCTCTTGTATTTCCTCCAGAGCACACTTCTCCACTGCAGGCTACCCAGCGGGGTTCCTGCCTGTTTCAGGGGCTCGGTCTCCCACAGTCTACTTGAGTGGGCAGCTCCCCCAGACCTTCTCTCCCACTGTGGGGCTCATGCCCTGCGTGGAAAGGAAGCTGATGGGGGAGGGGAGCCCCCAGGGCTGCTTTGGGCCAGTGGAGGTTGACTGCAGGAGGCAGGGACTCAGCCCTGGAGCAGGAAGAGGGGCCAGTCAGAACCCCTGCCCTCCCAGCCCCTCCTCCAAGGGACAGGGGGCCTTCCGGCTGCACTGGGTTGGCGGGGGAGCATCTTCCCTCACTCCTCCAGCCGAGGGGTCCTTGGGTGAATCAAGGAGTTCCTGCTCAGGAACCAGGGAGCTGGCCAGAGGCAGAGGCTGGCACGTCAGCGCTCGGTTAGGACACACTGACCATCCAGGGACTGCTGCAGTGATGGTGGGTGGAGCTGCAGCAGAGGGTCCTAGCCCCTGAGAATTGACAGCCGGTGGTCCCACGTGTGCCCACAGGCCTGAGGGCGTGGATGAGAGAGTGCTGCAATGTGAGGGGTCCGGACACTGGGTGTGACACTGCCAGCTGGATATTGCTGTACATACATGTCTGCCAGGCAGGACCAGCCACATAATTTCCTGGGGTTCCAGTGTAAATGAAAAGGCAGGGTCTGCCCTGGCCGGTTTGGCTCAGCGGTTAGAGCGTCGGCCCGCGGACCAGAGAGTCCCGGGTTCGGTTCCTGCTAAGGGCACATACCTTGGTTGCAGTTTGTCCCCGGCCCCGGTTGGGGTCGTGTGGGTGGCAACCACTCGATGTGTCTCTCTCACGTCGATGTTTCTCTCTCTCTCTTCCTCCCTCTCTCCCTCCTGCTTTATCTGAAGATAAATGCAAAAAATGTCCTCAGGTGAAGATTAAAAAAAAAGACCATGCAGGGTCCTTTGTTCCACAACTAAGAATTTAAAGACAGTGGCAGCAGAACAATAAACCAGGTCGGGGGCCAGGCTGAGCGTGGGGCCCTGTGCCCTGGCAGCCACCCCAAAGGAAGCTTTGTTGGGGGTGTTCACAGAAAAGGAGCTAGAGCACGGAGAGGGCCGTGGCGGAGGTTCTGGGGCTACTGGCCCAGGCAGGCCAGGAGCAGGTGCACCTTCCTCCCTCCCTATCACAGGGCAGAGGGTGGGGGAGCCCCCGCGCACTCCACCCTCACTGCAGCGTCTTCCACTCGCCTGGGGGCCCAGAAGGAAAGGGGCTTTGCATCAAGCAGGAGACTGGGGCCTCGGCGGCCTGTGGTCAGCGGAAGATCTGACCTGGCGGGTGGGAGGGGAAGGCTGATCTGGCCACATGCTGGGAAGGAAGCTGCCCTTTCCAGCGAAAGGAGCCGGGCCCAGCACAGTTGGGGCACTGCCTGGAAAAATGAAGTCGTTTTAAATCTACATCCCGATGAGCGGAGAGCGTCCAGTCAGCTGGCGAGAGCCCCTGGCAGTGTGAACTGCTCGCTTGTCTGTCTGTCATAGGGAAGCAGGGTTTCTGTCTCCTCCTGGTAGTGTCCCCGGCACCTAGGACGGAGCCTCACACACTCTTTGCTAAACAAACGAAGACCTGAGCGATCATCAGTACTGGCCCCTCTTCCTGCTCCAGGGCCGAGTTCCCTCCGTCTGCCCAGAGCCACGCTGGGGGCTCCCCTCCCCTGTCAGCTCCCTTCCCACGCAGGGAAGGGCCTGGGCTGCTGCCCTTCTCATGCACGTCCACATCCAGCCTGTTGGGCCCCTTTCCTCTCCCCAGGGGGAGAGAGGCGACATTGCCTGGGGCGGCCCGTAGGTACCAGCACTTTACATGGTTGTCTCTGAACTTGCGGTAGGAATGTGGCCCAGGGAGGTTACCCAGCCTCAGGGGGCAGAGCTGGGGTCTCCCCTGTTCTGCTGGTCCCGTGTTCTTTCCTCTTTGCTTCCCCAGTTTTTTGGAGGGCTGGGGCAGGCTGACTGTCAGGGTGCAGGAGGGTTGCAGAAGGGACTGGAGAGACAGTGACAGCTGCAGCCCCTGGATTCTCGGCCTCTCCTCCAGGCTCAGTCCCCTGCCTGGGAGGGGCTGGCCGTGTCTGCCCTGGCCCCAAAGCCACAGTGCCCCCTTTTCATCCCCCCACAGAGAGAGGCAAAGTCTTCTACCTCTTCTGAGGATATCTCTGGAAAACCCGCAGACGCATGTCAGGAGCATCCCGTGGCTGAGCTAGCCCTGCACCCCCTGCTGGCATGGAGCCCTCTCGTGTTCAGAGGAGGATGGCGTGGGGGACCCTGAGCTTCTGGGAATGGGGAGGAGACCCAGGTGCTCACCACCTGGAGACAGAAGCTGTCTTTCTAGGTCTCTCCGCTTGTCCTCTGGGCGAGGACCTTCCGCTTCCTTCCTCCTTAGGACCCTCCACATCATGACCATGTTCGCCCCTCCCTTCATCCCAGACCAGCCTGACCTCCCCGGCCCCACCAGGGGAGTGGGCAAAGGCCAGTGGGAGAGAGACACCCAAGAGCTGCCAGGGTGAGCACCCACTGCGGGCTGGGTGTTTTCTTTCTAAGGTTGAACCA